ATATCTGAATTTTTAATGGTTTGATCCATTCTTTGCAAAGACAAAATTCTCTGTTTTATGTTTACATATATATGGATGAACATGTCTATCATCTATGGCTCAACATTCAAGTTGTTTCCAGGTATGATGAAAACACATATATAATAGAAGACTGATCCTTTTTAAAAGTTTTTGTAGGATTGATTTCTTTGTACAATAACTATATCATAGGATAATAATATTTTACATTTATTTATTTAGTGTAAAAGTAGGTGCATGTATGCCACAGTCCACAAGTGAAGTCAGAGAACAACCTTTGGAAGTTAGTTCTCTCCTGCCGTGTAGGTTCGGAATCAAACTCAAATTGTCAGCTTGGTAGCAAGTGCCTCTACCTGCTGAGGCATCGCACCTGCTCAGGATAAGAACATTTCCTGGGCTCAAGCATTTATTGCTGTATCATTTTCCGAAGAGCTAAAGCAATTGTACAAGCCACCAAAAGTAGTCCCGTGTTAGTTATAGAACCATTCATATTTTCTGAGAACCATTTATCTTTCTAAGAAGGAATTAATAAAAAATTCCATTGCTGTGATTTTCAAATACTTTGTTTTTATAGGCACCGTTTCGTGTCTGTGTTTTTTTTTTTTATGTGAATGAAATAATTTGACTTTAAGTCAGTCGTGTGTATGGACCTGTACAGTAAGGTTGAAGGAATACCCAAAAGCATGCTCTCTGCACCATCCAAGTCTCACTAACAGTGGCTAACTAACTGGTCATCCCAGGGGCTCCGCCGAGAGCTTCATGTGGATGAGCCCATGAGCTAGACTAGCCAGCGCCTAGTCAAGGAATGAATAAAATTCAGGAAGGTGTCACCTAAGCCACCCTGACTGTTCTGTAGCAGTGGCTCGTCACATTCGGCAGAGTTTAAAACACTGACAGTGGCCGGCAGGCTACAATCCTAGGTAAGGAGCAGAGGTAGGGAGCAACAACATGGCCACTTAACAGGGATGAGGGACAGCATCTGGTCACTCCCTCACTGTCACTTTGTTGCCAGAAAATCAAGGGTTTCAATTAGACCAGTGGGGTCCCAAACTTCTTAAAACATAGAACTCTCCTCCACGCCTTTAATTAATTACAGTTTCTATAAGGAATGATTCTTTAAATTGAGGAAGGTGATTTCAGATTTCCTTTGGAGTAAGGCTATTTATGTGTATGGAGTCTGAGTGTGTATGTCAGTTTATAAAATGCCACCAAGTATCCAGTCCTGTTTGAGGGGATAAAAGAACACTTCAAGAAATCAAGGCCTGGAAGAAAGAGTTCAGCAACCAACAGCAGGAATCACAATACCTGTGTCTGTTGAAGGAGTTCAGGGCCCAGGACACTAAGCTGTGTAAGGACAGGTTCAGGGAAGATGGGGGGGGGGTGCCTCACCCACCTTCAACCCTATAGATGCCTGAGTGCCAGAATGCAGTGAGCAGGTAAAGTGCTGCCCCAAACTGACCTCAGACCTTTCTCAAGAAAGGCAAGTCTAATGGAAAAAGGAAAGGATCTTCTCACTTTGTCAGCACAAAACATTGAAACAGTGTGGAAAGTAAGCCTGGCCCGTGCACCAGGAAGCATCCCTTAGTTCTTATCGATCCTAGCATAGCATACTGAAAATATAAAATCCTTGAACCCTATGAATAAAACGATCCACTTCAAATTGCAGGGACAATAGGCCAAGACTTGTCTCAGTGTACTTTTGCCTGTGTTTCAAATTGATCTAATTGGATCATGTAGTGGATCTGATGGTTGGGGCGTGTGTGGGCCCTTCCTCGTCCTCTGTACCTGTCAGAACTCTCACCTGCGGACTCATCACCTACATCTCCACACAGAGATGGACAGAAGCAGAAATGTTCTGGTGACGGGCCATTTACAAATCTTCTTATGTATATAATATATCTCCATTTTTAAATTTTTATTTATTTATTTATTTTTGGGTTTTTGAGACAGGATTTCTCCATGTAGCCCTGCCTGGTCTGGATCTTGTTCTTTGTAGACCAGGCTGGCTCGAACTCACAAAGATCTGTCTGCCTCTGCCTCCCAAGTGCTGGGATTAAAGGGGGACACTACCACTGCCTGACCCATATTTTTGAAAGTTACCAAATGCTACACAGTAATGAAATTTCCAATCCTTATCCCAAACTCCATTTCTCCAACCCCACATCAACCAACATGAGCCAGCAAGGTGGCTCAGCAGATACGGGCACTTGCTGCCAAGCCTGGTGACCTGAGTTCAACCCCCAGGACAGATAAGGTAGAGGGAGAAAATTCTCTGTCTACATATGCACATGTGCATGCGTGCGCACGCGCACGCATGTACACACACACACACACACACACACACACACACTAAATAAATGTAAAAAGTTAACAAATATAATCAGTTTCTCACATACTTTCCAATGATGCTTTATTCATCTACATGTAATACAACCAGAAAAGGCTCTTTCGTTTGTTTTTTATACAGTAGTAGCATAGTCTACACACACTACTTTACCTTTTTTTCCCCCTTCTATTGGTTAACACCCTAGTTTAGAGATCAGTCTATAATGGATACACACAGAGCTTCTTCATCTTTTACGAATGTAAAAATAACTTATTGTGTGGATAAAACCTTTCCATTGTACGTTTAGTGTGCTTCTGACTGTTTTGTTTTTGCAAGCAACGGGGAATGAATAACCTTGCCACATATGTCACTTTAATGAATATAACCGTGATTGTTAGTCGGAGGCAACTTTGCCACCCTGTGGACATTTGGTCTCGATGGAGATGTGGAGAGGTAGTTGCTACTGGCGTCCAGTGGGTAGAATCAGAACCAAAGGGTCAACAGTACAGAGACTGAGAAGCCCCAGTGCATAGAAAACATGTCCAGATGTGGAGTTGCGGAGTTAACGGATATTAAAAGTTGCTGTTTAGTGACCCAGTCACTCGCCACAGAAGTTGCTCTTTCTCCAGAGCCATGTGTTCGAGCTTCTTCTCAAAACCTCAACAACACCCTTGTCTCATGCTTTGATCTTTGCTGCTCTGATAGGTTTAAAGTAATCTAAGTGGAATTTATTTGTATTCCTGTTGTCACAGTAACTGAGCATCTCTTCGTATGTTTTAAGAAACATTTACATTCCTTTTGCCCATTTCTCTAGAAGCCTGTTCATAACTCGCAGGAGCGCTTGGTGCATTTCCGTGCAGTCTCGTGTTAACTTACCTTTCCACCCCCAAAAGATCCGTACCCATCCTCCAGTCATTCTGGAGCTCATATCCTAGTTTATTTCCATTGAGAGTTCCACACATACTGTCGTGGGGTCCACACATTCCACTTTCTGCTGCAGCACTCTGACCTGCTGTTCCTTGTCAGTCAATTAACAAATACGATTTAGACATTGCCTCTGTCGAGTGATTTTCTGAAAGGCAGTCAAACTGTTCACTATCTCCTCTAGCTGCAGACTCTTTGGGGCTTAAAAAGAAGATAAAATATGTTTTCCGAGCACACTAAACATCCACCATGCCCTCTCCTGGAAAGATGGGGAAGGGGGCTTTGGAAGAGAGCTCACAGGCTAGAGATACTGAGACAGTGCATGGGACCTGGAGGACTGATGCTTACCGTGTGGCACTTTGTTCTTTCAGAGACCAGGTCCTGCTTTGGAGCCCCGGGTAGCCTGGAATCAATGATCCTACCTACCAAATGCTGGGATCATAGACACACACCAGCATGCCTAGCAACACATACTTCTTGTAAACAAGTCTAAACTAACATTTGTGTTCCATTCTCTGTTTTATTTTTTAATCTAACATGATTTGGGCTTATAAATTATTACCCACTTACAAGGTACACATGTCCACACAAAAACTCAGTGATTTACCTTGAACAAAAATGAAGGAAGAAAATGGCTGTCCCTTGAGAACAGGAGAGGAACTGCCATGAACTTGAACCTCCAAGAATATACAGAAGGGCAGGTGGCAGATGCTGCCTGGTTCCAGCTTCTTGCTAATGGGGTTATGAGGTCACCACATTTTACACTCCCAAGCTTTTCATTTGGAATCCCTTACCTTCTCCCTCTGTCCATCTGTCACTGTTGTGTTACAGTGTGGTGTTTTTGGAATGCTTCTGTCTGCTTTAAAATACCCTCTAGTTTTGCTCCCCTCTTCCTTTTTCATGCTGTCTTAAAGACACCTCAAGTCTCATGGAAACGTATTACTTCCGCTATGAAACTCTTCTATTTGACACGTGGGAAAACCAGCATTAGCAGCTTGGAATCTTTTTTCCCCTCCTGTATTACTTTTTTGGATATTGTCTATATTAATATCTATTTCATCTTTTTCAAAAAAATGAGATGATTCAGCTATTGCTTTAAATCTGCTTTTTTAATTTAATATATATATACTTGTTCCTTTATATAGACAATCTCTCTTTTTTATTAATGACTACAGGGTAGTCACAGGATAACTAACACATTAATTCAACCATTTATCTTGTTTTTCTTTTCTAGTGCAATAAGTAACACTGTTACAAGCATCCTTTCTCTCATATCTTTATACATTTTGAGCAATATATATATGTATATATATACATACATATATATACATACATATATATATATATCTTTTTCTGCCCCTTATTTTCAAACCTCAGCTATGCCCCACTGATCTGTGTTTTTAATATTATTATGAGAAAATATGTTCATAATTTGAGTAAGAGAATGGCAGCAGTTGCCCTCTGAAAGTTAAATGAGAATAGAGTTCTCTTTCTTTTCTCTTGTAAAATTCTCACTTTTTGCCTAGTCAGGACGCTGCTGTTGAAAAGATGGCCGACCTTAAAGAAGCCAGATGCTTTTCCCCACAGCCAGCCTCGTAGTAAACAGCAGAGTGAAACTCGGCTGTAGTGAAAGCCAGAGCCTACAGCTTATGTCTGAGTGAGAGGTGGGTCTTGTGGAAACAAGGAAAGAAAAGCAAGCAGATGGGGGATGGGCTGCCGTTTCCCCACTTACAACTGGTGCAGCTTGGACATCGGCCCTGACTTTGCCCTGGCTTCCAACCTTCCATGACGAGGTCCAGCGAAGATGGGCTGCAGGAAGGAGAGAAACAGCCACAGCTAGTTACAAAGAGCACTGGTGTTGGACAAAATGATGCCTTTTTCTCAGAGAGGGTAATGGTCTCGTCTTTCCTGGGGGCTTCCTGCGACACAGGTCAGCACTCAGCATCCCCTCAGCGCCCAAGGACCAAGAGAACTACAAAGAGGGAAAGACGTGAGCTGCAGGCCCCACACCCCCACCTGCCTAAGTCTGATTCCAGGTCCCCCCAACCCCAAGCAAGCCTCACACAAGAGATGAAACTACAAGGGAGAAAACCCCCAAAGCTATTTTAGAATTGCTGTGAGTGGGGAAAATGGCGCCCCCTGCGTCAGTCAGTTAAGTTTTATTTCACATGAATTTTCAGATGGAACAGTAGCTAAACTAGACCCAGAAGGGGCGTTGAGCAGGACACTTGAGATGCCTTGTTAAGATCCCGATCGCATCAAAGCATTGAGGGTGCTGTGGGTGGTTCCTCTCACAGTCTGATCCCAGGGAGGGCCAGCAGATAGCCACACGCAGAGGAAGCTGGGAAGCCAGGAAGCCACCCTTCTCATGATTTTGTCCTCATTCTACAAGTTACTAGGAAAACAAACGACCCCAGCTGTCAGAGTTGTCAATCTCACCAGCTAAGTGTGACTACTGTCCTCCCCAGTGATGTTTCCTGATTACATATGGCCTTTTTTTTTTTTTCTTGGTTTTTCAAGACAGGGTTTCTCTGTGTAGCTTTGCGCCTTTCCTGGAACTCACTTGGTAGCCCAGGCTGGCCTCGAACTCACAGAGATCTGCCTGGCTCTGCCTACCGAGTGCTGGGGTTAAAGGTGTGTGCCACAGCCGCCGCCACCACCACCCGACGATTACATATGTCCTAAAAGAACATTTGAGCAAAGAAAATATGGATGCATAAAGACAAAAAGGGCACAGGCTTCATTTGTGGACAGGAAAAGGAAAGGAGGAAGAGGAAGTGAGGAGCATGTGAGTGACAGTTCATCACTCGAATGACGTTAATTCGACAGTGTTTTTAAGTATTTGTTTCAGGTCCTCCGAGTTAGCACAGTGACTGAGGAACCATTTTTTGCCACTTTCATGAAAACAAGTTATATCAGAACTGGAAAGGTGGGATAGCAGTTAAGAGCAATTTTTCCGCTCTTGCAGAGGTTCCAGGTTCAGTTCTTAGTACCCAAATGGTGGCTCCCAAATCCTTAACTCCAGTCCCAGGGAATCTGATGCCCTCTTCTGACCTCCACAGCACTGCACACATGGGGTGCACATGCATACATACATGCAGGCAAAACAGCCAAAACATAAAATAAATACATCTTCAAAATATTTTTAATACAAAGTTATTAAGAGGTTGAAACCTTGGCCCAAGGATGTGCAGCTAGTGAGGAATGAGTCAGGGTTTGAACCCCAGTCTGTCTGACTTGGAAGCATCCCTTCTCCATTCTGCTCTACCAAAGTATAAAGCAGTAATTCTGCTGTTTTTCACACTCGGAAATGTCCTCTTGAGGGTGTTTAACATGTAACTTCTTATTGATATATCCACTGGGCAAGCAGTGATGGATCCAAGGAACTGCCATGCTGCGTGTGTGTTCCCAGGGAACACACCTGAACCCCAGCTGAACAGGCCTGTGCAGCAGAAACAGTGTTCCACTAAGCCATGGCTGGAGGAAATAGGCTATGCAGCTAACATACACCGAGTTTGGGTCATGAAAGCTTCCTGTCAGCATCGAAGCAAGAACGATAACCAATGATGTCTCCTCGCTATGAATTAAGGAAACTGGCCTCCCAGTTTTCTCATCTATGTCATGGAGAAACAGTACTTTGTTGGGTCATGTTGAATGCAATGGAGAAAGAAGTTAAAAATATTGTTGACTTTTCATTGTTTTCCCGTCTCTCTCTGAAACTCACAATCTCATTCTATTTCATATAAATTATTGATTCAAAAGAGGGTGTAAAAGCCACTTGCACCAGGCGGTGGTGGCGCACGCCTTTAATCCCAGCACTCGGGAGGCAGAGCCAGGCGGATCTCTGTGAGTTCGAGGCCGCCTGGGCTACCAAGTGAGCTCCA